TACCTCTTGACTTTTTCTTCTTTTTTCTTTGGGGGGTTGGGGATAGGGAGAGACTACACCAGGAATATAGCTATATTTTCTGGTTATATCATTAGTATTTCCAAAATATACATCAATATTTGTTTGCTTTCTCTATCAACTTTGCATTCCTAAAATTAGACTCCTCATCCCAAAATTCTCAGATCTAAATGATTCCTCTTTAAACAATTTTGTTTGCTGAGACTCTTGGCATTCAAATTTCGCCCTATTCAAAGGCTGTCTTGGCTTTTTTCCTGTAAATAAAAATATTTTCCATAAATCCCTCATTTCTACAATATATTTTATTTCCCTCCCACGCCCCCATCCCCCACTTCACCTGAGGACATGCTTACAGAGAGGAAAGGTGGACGGGAGGGAGGGAGAGAGGGAGGGAGGGATATCAGTTGCCTTCCGTAGGTGCCTGACTGGGGATCAAACCCACAACCCAGGTATGTGCCCTGATTGGGAATCAAACCACAACTTTTAATTGCACGGACAACATTCAGCCACCTGAGCCACTTCAGCCAGCCAGGCTCCACAATACATTCTTTATGTACAACTCCATGCATAAAAATACATATTTAGAAAGTTCCCCAAGTGAAATAATTATTTTAACCCTACCAATGTAAGACAAGAAATCAATATTTGCCCTTGGGGGTAAAATTCTTACCTTAATAAGATGGACTTGAATTTTGACTAAATTTTGTATAAGAAGGAAATTAGATGATTTGACATCTGTAATCTTTTTTATACTCAACTAATCTATTTTACTACCGGTAAAGTAAGTCCTGGAAAGTCTTAAGTAACTTGCACAATAAGATCATGCAATGAGTTAATGGCTGACATGGGACAAATATCAAGGTTTAGCAATTTTCAATTCCATTTCAAAATTTTAAACTTATGATGGCCTCATGATATTTTAAACCACTCATGATCTTAGTCCTAGATCTAATTATCAAATACGTAACTATCACATGGAGCACCATGCTTAAAAAGCAACAAACTGTGTGTAAAACATGTTTATGGAGAAGGGCATGGGAGACTACTCTCAAAAAATATATTCATGGACTATTTGATAAAGTCAGGCTAGAAGAGCAAAGGATGGTAGTAAATAAATGTCATGCTCTAAAACTGAATTTCAGAGATAGTGTTCAGCATGATTTTTCTATGTTTCACTTTTCCCTGTCAGCTGTGAGCTGTTTCCAAGTGTGAAATCGCCTACGAGAGGAAGCAAAGCTGTCATTTGACATCTGGGGGCGTAGAGATTGGGATGTAGTAAAGAGCATGTTAGACTTCGTCAATTTATACATATATTCACCTATAAATTCTCAAGTCTAAAAGGTCCTCAAGCAAGACTGCTAAAAAAGACTAAGAAAAATATTTTCTTGACATTTTAGTTTATCTTAATATTTGAAATTTTATAACAAAAAATTATTCTATATTATGATAAATAGTTGCAATGATAAAACACACAAAATCCTTTGCATGCCTGTGTATGTGCAAATAGAAATAAAATCAGAGTAACTACAAGGAAGTCCTCTGAAGAAGAAGAATCAATTTACTCCAGTTTTTATTCTATAATCTCTCACAATGGAAAATAGAGAAGCCTGTCTAAAAGTCTCTTAATATAGCATCTAAAAGTCTCCTAATATGGAAACTAGACACTGTTATATTTGTATTGTCATGCTATACAATCTATTCCTACTTTGGGGACAATTTCTTTGCTCTTTTCTCTTCCTGAACTCCTTTCTGTTTCTCTGGTATGAAAGGAACCCATTTACCATGAATGATGTTTATTTAAAGTAAAACCTTTCTAGAGAGTCATCCTAGATAATCTAAGGATACAAAGTGAACCTAAAAGGAAGGGCTTCTACTTTGAAAACAGGGCTGGGTTTGATCAGTGAATTCGTATTCTCAAGACCCTCTTGATGGGCCTGCAGCTGCAGCCATTTATTTGCTGGCTTTTTCACAGATGTAGACAGAGAACGCTCCATGGTTTTTTGTCTTTCTGTTGTTAGATTTGTTTTCTTTAAAATAAAAAGTCGCAACTTTTTAAGCTTGTCAATATCAGACATCCTTGGCAGTATATATACATTGTTGAAATGGCTGTCTTTTTAAAATCTAAGACCACAAAGTTGGCACAAACCTATACTTAAATAACAGAAGGTGATCATTTGCATTTCAAAATTTATCTATCTTGCTTTTCCCCTCAATTAGACCAAAACATGTTGATTCACAGGTTTCTGTGTGTGTGTTTCTTTCTTTTTTTAAACTTATTTATAGAGCAGAATAATGGCCCCCCTGCTAGTTTGGCATTTGCTCAAGTTTCTGTCCATGTAAATCGAATCTGTTACTGGAAATTTTTTCTCAAAATATAAAGGCACATCATCCACAAGATAAAAAGATACATTGCTGATACTATAAAGTACAGGGCAGGTGGGTAATGTTTTTAGGACAAATACGTGATAAGGATTCCCAGGAGGGAGGAGTGGTAGGGGTAGAGGCTGCACACTGTTTAAACAGAAGTGAATCGTTTTCACCGTAATCTTATGACAACTTCACTTTCTAAGCAAACATCATCGGTTTAATATGCTTTAGAGTTACTTGGACAATAATATGAAGGTTAGCGATGGGAAATGGAAGGACAGGGAGGTGGGGAAGAATTAGTTAAACCCTTAATCTTTCTAAGGATAGATCAAAAGAGAACTAAGTACTCTATGTCCCCCTGTATTCACTGATTTGTGATTTTTATGTGTTGAAATACTAGTATATTATCATTACTCCCACCTCTTTGAGGGAAGGAGGAAAGCCTACTTGTAGTTTTTATCAGTAGGACTGCCCTTCAATTTTGAGATGCAGTAATTTACAAGTTTTTGCTCTAATTCCCTTTGCATTGTAAGCAAGGGGCAGGAATACACAGACTTAACTAAATCCTATAACTCTCTAGATTTAAGATCATCTAAATTAGAACACTAGCACTACTTTTCGGTTAAGGCCATTATTGGTTTTATTTTATCCTGTTGATAAGACAAATTAAAAAGCCCAAGGAATGAAGAGACTTTCCACATTGTTCAATGCAAGCCATAATACTAGGGCACTTTTGCAACTCACAAAGCTTGAAAGTACAATTCTTTTATGCAAATAATTAAAACAAAACCCTTCTTCAGACTACAGCTTGTTTTTAATGTTAGTGAAGGACAACCTGAAGATGAGAGCAAAAATCCATTAATGGTAGACTGCCACCTGCTGGTCAACTGTAAGAACTGTGATTTCTGGGAGGGGGGGAAGCTTAAAAAGTAGAACTTGGATACTGACTGATATATTAAATTCAGTATTTCAGAACACAAAACTGAAAGTTGTATCTATTAATAAGTGCGGTATGATTCTGTTCCACACATAAACTCTAGGGAGGTCAACATGCTATAACGTAACAGTAAACATGACTGTACTTTAAATTGAAGAAAAATAATCTGCTGGAATGCCAAAGTACATACAACCCTACAGAGTTTCCAGTAAGAAAGTAACAACACTAACAGGAAATAATGAGTCAATTATAAACATTAAACAATGCTCCATAAACCTTTGGTTTTGATCTAAGGTTTATACTGCACTTGACTTCCAGGTTTAATAGGATTCTGCTTTTAAAAAATCCCCAGATTTAATTTTGATTCTAAAACCTCCAATTCATTATAACTAGTACATATGTTTATTTATACTGCTACCTAAGATGTTATTTCTCACCAAACTAGAAAAGAGGAGAGTCTGTTAAAAAAAAAAAAAAAAAAAGAAAGAAAGAACTAAATAACCTTTACAAAGTGATTTTACTCAAAAAACATTTTTGTTATCCCATTAACTAAATCATACTAATAAGGCTTCAAAAAACAGCATAATATGTATTTGAGAGAAACAAGAAAATATAAGCATGCTCTACTGCCCCTAAAAAGACATAAAAATGAAGAGCCCTAATTTGGGAGAAGAAAGAGAGTAAGGTAAGAAGAAAATCCAAATCACTGTTTTTAGAACATAAGTTTTAGGATATTTGCTCTGCAAGTTGAAAAACTTTGAAATTCCCCATTACAGAAATCATTCTTAGTAACTAAAAACACTATAGCTCTTTCCATCCTAATTATAATCATTTCCCATTATGGAGGGAAACAATGTTAGCATCAATAATACACTGGTTAGCTAGTAAGTACTTAAACACTGTATTAATCAACAACTAAGCAGATCATGTCAACATAATCAGCTTGAACCTCCTTTGAAAGCCGGTGGGGTGACAAATGAAGACACTTTGGCTATCTAAAGAGGCTGACTATTAGGCAAAAGGTGAACAAACTTTGGATTCTGACAAAGAGAAACTAATTCAAATACAATTCATATGCTTAAGTGAACTGTAGTTTTCAACAAAGGATCTGATACCCCTAGAAATAAAACTCTAATTAAAAGAATAAATACAGTAAAAGAAAGAGAAATATGTTATATCAAATATTTGACAAAAATAAGCTATTTTAAAACAAGAACATGCTTCCTAAAATTTCTCAAAATATAGAATGAGGTCTTTAAATTAAAATCTGCTCTAAAATGTGAGGTTGGCTCATCTCTGAAGTCACACCCTTCCATTTTTTTTAATTCTATATTTTATCCATATTTTTAGCCTTAGGAATTTTACCCATTTAATCAATTACCTCTCACATCTTAATAAAAATCATCCATTTAAAGAGGCTCAGGGTATTTAAAGTTCTTTCTAAACACTAAGGAGTTAAGACATTTCTAACAAGAAGTACAAACCCATCTAACAATACACACACACACACACACAAACTATGGATTATATAATGGTTTCAATTTCCTTTTCTGAAGGGTTAAGGAGATAACCAAATCCAACATATATGTAAACTGCTAGTGACAAATACAACTTCCATAAAGAAATGAGAGCTGCGGACTACTTTTGCAAGCGAAACATTGTAGGAGATGACTCTAACCTGGGGCACAGTACATTCTCTCTATGGCATCGCTGTCACAGGAATCTTCAACCTCACTCCACCTGCTAAAATACGTTAGCTGAATGTGTCCTAAAAACAAAACGACAGGAGAAATCAAAACATTTTTCTCTTCCATTTTCTGCAGAAGTGAACTGTAATTACTCCTTTTGTAGCTAAAAACAGTATCATTAAGAATAATGGCATCATTAAGTACTAGAAGCTATTACTGGGGGTGAATTTGCTGCACTGATAATGAAGCTCTAGATAGGAAATGAAGATACTAATTACAAGATAAAACGCCTACTCAGTTAATTGGAAGCAACAGCGAATAAAAAGAAATGCATTTGCAAAAGTTCCTGACCTCTATCATTCAATAAGATGTTGTTTGGGTTCAAATCGCGGCACACAATTCCCTCTCTGTGTAAAGCATCAAGGGCTACCACCATTTCAGCTGCCCATCTCTGAATGCAGCCCTCTGGGATGTAAAACCTGGAGTGTAGTGCTAATTTTTTATCAAGGTCCTCAAAAATCTGATGTATCTCCTTGTCTCCTTCTAGTGCTAGCCCACTGGCTTCCTTAGTCGCAGAGTCTCTCTGAAATAAAGTCTGTTCCTCTTCAGCCAAATCATCAGCTTGATCTGTAAACAGCAATACTTCCTCACTTTTTAAAGTGTCCGTGTCTGCATTGTATGCGTTAGCACCTGAGAGTGGGTCAGAAGCAGGGAATACGCTTTCCTCTGTGTTGTTTGCAGTCACTGCCGACTCGACCACTCCAAGTCCTTGAAAGTTAGGTTGTGGGCTATGCATCAAGGAAATGCCTGAACTACTATGATCAACAGCAGCTACAAATAACATCCCAGGACCCCCTTCTACATAGTGTTTCTCTGTTATACCATCAGATGGAAGCCTAGAGGGGTCACTCAATTCTTCTGCACCTTCTTCTTCCTGTGCTTGGCACTGTTCAGCACTAAGCCTGAGGCATAAAACATCGGGGGCTTCCAATAGTTTACTTTCTATTATGCCGACATTAGTCTGTGTAAACTTAGTAGGTCCCATTGCTGCACCATCTTTTGTTGGTTCCAATTCACCAGGTAGGTTTACAAGAAGATCAGGCCTTCCTTCATCAGTACCACTGATATCATCAAAAGCAGCATCTTTAAAAGAAATAACTGGAACAGAGTCATCAGAGCCCCTGCTAATGGTGTCCTGAGCTATAACCTTGCTTTCACTAATATTAAAACTCCTGTCTCCGTCAGAAAGAGTAAAAAATGGTTTCAAAGGCTCTGACTTTAGACTATACATTTTTTCTCCAAAATCAAGTCCTAGGAGTTCACTAGTGCTATCCTTACTGTCTATCCTAAAGAATTCCATGGAGCTGGTTTTAGATCTACTGAGGGAATCTGATGTCCTTGGAGAACTAACTGTTTCCAGGTCATCATTTCCAGGGAAGAATTTAAGCTCATGTGCCATCAGCTGGGTGCTGGGGCTGTCGCTGCCAGCAACAAGGTGCGTGGGGAAGCCTTCAACAGCTTTGGTATCAACACCATTTCCTTCAGTCTTTATGAAAGGCTCCTCATTCAGTGACCCTGGTTCAATCTTTTCTTGCCCATATTCATTGCATAAGGTTAAATAACTAGTAGTGCATTCTTCTTCTGAACTTGAGCCAGAATCTGGCCATTTTGGTGAGCTATCTTGGCCATCATCGTCTTGGTTGCTATCATCTTGAGAGCTCAGGGTAAGACTACTTTTCAGAGGCAGAACCTGAGGTGTGGGTCCAGCATCGCTTCCTCTGGATTCAAAGCTGCTGCTGTCCTGAGGACTGGAAGTTGGCTGTTGCAGGTGAACTTTCGTAAGTGCAGGTTTTTTCACTTCCTCGATGTCAAAGCTTTCTTCAGGACTTCTGTTGAGAAATTTACTGACATATGACCACAGTCTGCCACCTGTGAACAAGTACAACAACAAAAAAATTTTTAAGATCCCTAAATTAACAGTTATTTATTGAAGTCACTAGAAAAGCAAAAGGTATTTGAATAATCAACTAAGAGCCAGTCAATGATACCCATCCATTAATATATCCAGTATTCTGGAAGACAAGTATTTTAATAAAATGTCTTTTGTTATTGCTGACTGGTGAGTACAGTGTCAACATATCTCCTAATATCAATTATTTCTGAAATGACAACCTATTTCTTCCTTTGAAGGGAAATTAGTTATAACAAATACTAACATGAAATCTCACAGCTGACTTTCTGCTTTAAAGTTAAATATAATTTAGCTTCAGAAATAGCTGATTGTATTCTGATTTGTTTATGTAATAATTTTTTCAAGCATAGCCCCTTGGTCAAGTGGAAATTCATAAATAAGTGCTGCTTAAAACTGTATACTTCACTGGTTAAAAAAAAAAGTCAATAATATTATTGCATTTTAAAAATGCCCAGTCCAAGATTAGAGGGGAGATTTGGCATCTGGTATATAATTAAGCCATTATAAATGACATATTAATAATATTTTCCCATTTTCTCTCCTCCTCATATACATCATGTGTGGTATGAGACCAAGTAATGCAATTGAATATTAATTGGGCAGCCATTAATGAGGCAAGCTATTGTAATTCTAATTTTGTATTCTGATATATATCAGAAACCTATACAAACCAAAAACACAAAAATCAACTTCACATAAATCACAGAAATAAAATAAGCCAATGTTTTACCAGCAATACTTGTTAGGTAGCTATTACACCTTATTTTTCATTTGTTTTGTTTTTACTATTAAAAACTAAACCTTTTTTGCTAATTAGAATCATTGATTAAATAAACTATAAGCATCCAAAACCTACCAAAGCTCTACTGACTAGAAACAGTATTACAAGATTAGTTAAATTTGATTCAGAAATCTTAAAAACAGTAATTGCAGAAGCATACTTTGTAAACATATAACTATAGCTTCCAAAAGTGAGAAATCGTGTTAAAAATGAAACTCTTTATTAATATGGTGAAAGCAACTTTTTTCAGCACATTTTTAATGCTGTTATTAAGAATTACCATATTATCATACACCAAGGGTAAGTAAATATTAAGGAAAATAATCATTGACAGTCAATTACATGTGTAAAAAGGTCAATGGAAGCATCCAAAAACACTTTTTCTACTTCTCATTTCACTTCATTTAGAGAAATTTGATAAATATATAAAAAGCTCCTGATACCATGCCTCACATAGAGTAACTGCTCAATAAAGGGTAACTGTCATAATATTAATCCTAAAATACTCATGCATCTCCTCTACCAGTGATGTAGTTAAGTTTTCTTCCATTTTGATAATAGTTAGTGGTATAGGATATTATGGTGTTTAAATGTTACCTTCTCATTTTTCCTTAGCTAACTTTCTGTTCTCACTAGATTATACTTAGTTTTTCTTATTTTCCCATATTAAAACTTAATTTTAAACATTCATATATGGCTTTGAAACTCACTCACTCATACAAGGAGCTATGCATTGGTTCCATCTTAAGTCTTTTGACAACAGTAACCACACCCTTCTTGTCACAAATAGCTCTACTGTGGCACACCAACAATAATGCCTAAACCTGAAGCTGGGATTCCTGTATGCAATCTTAAAAAATGATGAGTTATTTTCAATTCTCCTAGATGGTGACTACTGTAAGGACGGAACCACGTCTTTTTCATTTTTGCATATGTACTTCCTACATAGTGCACAGGACATGATAGACAATGACATTACAATGCTTGTTAACTCGGATGGCAACTCATCAGAAGGAGACATGCCATCACAAAGCAGACAGTATCTTCAGCATGAAGTTCCAGGAATCAGCAGGAAATAGCATGTACTAAAGTTCCAGTAAAAAAATTCATTCATTCTTAGGCCAATTCCACCTGGATGAGCTGCTGAAATCTAAAATTCAAGGTGCTCAAATTCTTTCTTTTTGCCCCCCAAATCACTTCCTCTTTCTGACTTCTGAGCCATTCTGTCAGAAAAGCTTTGGACCAAACTTGGATTCTTTTCTCTTCCTTTTTTTCTCTATAATTTTCCAAGTCCTATAGGATCTACCCATAATGTTTCTCACAGTCCTCCTCTTCTTTTAATTCCTTTGACCACTCTGTGTTTCTGGAATAAAGTTGTAGCTACAACTTAATTGCTACCATAACTGCTTCCAATTTAGCACAGATCTTATGATGTCATTGTTCCATTCAAGAACCCAAATCCCCTCCACCTACTGAATGATGTACCAACTCCATAAAAATATTTGAAACCCTCAGTAAAACAGTATCAACCCATAAGTTAATCCTCTCCCTCAACTCACTGCAAAATTCATCTGAATTCAAAATTCACATATAACCATGCTGGGCTTTCGTTCAAACTATCCCTACCACTCAGAAGTTTCTTTCCTACTAGTTTCCCCAATATCTGCTTGTCAAAATCCCACTCATTCTTGAAGGTCCTTCAGAATTTGTTTTATTTCACCATTCTTTTTTATATCTCCTCGTTGGATACAACTCCTATAATCTCTCTATCCTCTATACAACATTCTATTTCATATTAATAATACTTTTATGCTTTTATTATCTCCTTTACCAGACTCCAGAGCCTTTATAACTACAGGGAGAGAATTCTGTCTAGCATATAAAATAATAGGTATTAGAGTGGCTTATAAGAAGATAATATCTTTTACAAATTTTTGAAACCCTTTCAAGGAAAAAGGTCCCAAAATACCCTGTATTAATAATGTCATTATTTTTGATCATGTAATCTTCCTATTTTAAAACAAATATACAGTTCTATTGTTTAAAATTTTCAAATAAAGAAAAGAACAAGGAAAACAAAAAATTCAAAATATATAAATTATGCATAATCACTATGAACTATTAGTACATTTGTTTTCAGTCATTTTAGTCATGACTAACATCATTTCATAAACATTTTCTAATTTTCACGAGAATATGAACTGGAAGGCTATATATAGCACATGTGACAGGTATCATGATCTATCAATGAACACTTACGTTACTCCAGCTTTTGCTATTAGAATTAAAATAATATATACTTTTACATACAAATACTTGGCATCTCTGATTATTTCATCAAAACAGAGTCCCAGAAATGAAAGTACTAGATCAATACTTTTAATACTTCTGATATGTGCTGTTATCCCCAGGACCTACTCCTACAAGCAATGTGCATTGGTGCCATCTTTATAGCAACTTGCTTATATTGGATATTAGCAAGTTTACCAATTTGGCTGATGAAATACGGCATCTTATTTAATTTCTATTCTTTCATTATTAAGTAAAATTTCTAAATGTATTTGCTGGCACTTATGGAATTTGTTCTTAGCCTAAACAAGTATCCAAATTATATTATAAAAACTCCGCATGTTTAAGCAAAATATAAATTGTTTTAGCTCTTCTCCATCCTTTCCTAGGTGCCCACTTAAATTTAATGCTCAATATGGAGCTACAGAAACAAACATGTTGGACCTATCACATACTTTTTTTAAATTACGAAATCATGGAAATCACGTAATTTACAAGAACACATTATTCCTACTGAAGTTTCTCGCCCACAAAAACTGATTGGGCTTTCTTTTCTTTAGAGATAAGATCAGATCCAACAGACTAACATACACGAAGTCAATCTTACTGTTGTAACATTAAAAATATTAACCTTAAAAAAATCCTAAACCACAAAATAGAAATACCAAACATATTTACGCTTTTTAACACTTTAGGAATCGATATGACACCTTTCTAAGCCCCATTGAAGCATATAAAATAGTAGATATTAGCTATTTTAAGCTATGAAAATAGTATTTTAAAAGGTTTAATTAAAACTCTTTGTATCTCATCAATTTTAATCTATTGGGGTTTTGGGGGTTTTTTGCAAGATTGCAAAGAAATTTGTTAAACTTAAATTTGCTTGACTAAAATCAGAACTTTAAATTAATATGTATGATAAAATATTGCTGGACCAATGATCAAAATCATCTTTTGACCCAGCAATTCTACTGAAAGGAATTTCTCCTAAAAATAGTTCTCAAAAAACAAAGATATATCAGTAAAAGCACTAGAAACAATTTAAATACCAATTAACAGGGGGTAACTAAATAAATTATGGTAAATCTATACTATCAAATACTTTGTATCTATTCAAAAAAGTTAGAGCAATACTTTCAAATATTTATATAGTGTTTACCATGTACCAGGCCCTGTTCTAAGTACTTTACACATATCAACTATGTAATCCTCACATCAGTCCTATTGAGGTAGGTAATTATTATCACCCCTATTTTATAGATAGAGAAACATAGGAACAAAAAAGTTAAGTAACCTGTCCCAAGTCATACAACTAGTAAATGGTGAACTGGCTCCAGAATCCTTGTTTTTAAGCATTACACTATACTACAGACCTATATACACTGAAAAGGAAAGCTGTCCAAGATACACTGTTAAGATGCGGGGAGAGGGATAAGCTACAAAACAGTATTTAAGATTCATTTATGTGTTGTTTTTTAAGCAGACAGGTACGGAGTATATGTTTATACACACAGGAAATTTCCCCCTATTTCTAGAGAATGAAACTTGGCATTAAAGTGAATAGGGAGGGAGAGTTTTAATTTTACTTTGTATACTCCTACATAGTTCAAATTAATTTCTTTACATATTAGTTTTATAAATTTTTAAACTAGTTAATAAAAAGATAATAATTTCACTCCTTGGATCCCCAAATAACTTGGGTAGAAATTACTTCCCATCTCCCATCTATTTGGTGCACATTCAAAAGCTTTTCCAATCATTTTCTTTTAACCTAGTCATTTCATTTTTCCTCTGACTCAGTATTCAACAATTATACACTGAGCACCTTCCATATTCTAAGCATTCTGCTAAATGCTGGGATATGTATTATGAATATGATTTAATCCATAATCTTAGGAACTTAAAAAGTTTCAATAACACTCATGGCCTTTATTGAATACAATGACTTTCCCACTTTTTCTTCCTTAGAGTCAAAGTAAGAGATTCATTAACAGAAACGAGCATTTTAAACCTCTCTCCTAAAATCTCATCTGGTATAGCCAACTGCCTACTCCATACCACCTAGATTTAATAAGCATCTCACACTTACATGTCCAAACTAAATCTCTGATTGCTCCCTCTACATCTGCCTCTCCCCCAGCTTTCCTATCTCAGTAAATGGAAACTCCATTCTTTCGGTTATTTCAGCCAAAACCCTGGAGTCATGCAAGGTAGAATCATGTTAGTTCTATCCTCAAAATATATTCGGAATCTAATAATCACTTCTCACCAGCTCCACCATTAACATTTTGTCCAACCTCCCATCATTTTCACCTGGATTGCTGCAACAACTTCCAAACTGGTCAGCTTTTGCCTTTGTCCTTCTATATTCTATTTTCTACAAAGCAGCCACAGTGATCCCCATCTTGCCACAATGCCCCCCAATAACTATCTATCAATAAAAATCAAGTTCTTAAAGTGGCCTACAAGACTACACAGGATCTGCCCACCTGTCTCCCCATCTTGCTAGGCTCATTTCCTGCCACTCTTCCCATTCTGCTTCCACCACAATGACACTCCTGCTTCTTGTACACTAAGTGCACACTCTTGCCTCCAAGCTTACGTACTATTCTCTCTTGCCAGGATAATGTTCCCTGACGTATCCACACTGCTCCCTCTCTCACTTCCTTCAAGTTACTGGCCAAATATCCCTTCTTACTAAAGGGACCATTCTATATAAAATAGCAACCCCTACCTCGCCTTTTTGGCATTCCCTTCCTTTATTTATCTCCATCTGACATATATTTACTTAAGTATTTGTTTACTGTCTGTCTGGCTTTTATAATGTAAGTTCCATGTGGGCAGCCTTCATCTATTTTAGAACTAAGACTGTATCCCAGTAAGCATGCAATACATTTCTGACTGAAAGAAAGAAGGAAAGTCAAAGAGACTAATGTGAATTATGAACAGTTTTTTGTAAGCAGAGGGAAACTAAAGCCACAAATCATAAATATTCAAATATTCATATTATGAAAAAACAACTGCTCATTTACTTTTTCAGTAATAGTGTAGCCAGCATATGAAAGTGACATTTGTATGCTATATGCACAACTTCCTAATTCACAGAGATAACAAAGAAAGTACCACAAATATGTAAAAGGTAGCACACAGTCCATCAACTAGTTCACTTGATTGCTCAAGCCAAATCCAAGAAATTGCCATAGATTTTTCTCTCCCAAAATTTATTTTATTACAGATGCCATGGACTCTAAGTATCTCTGCTAGTAGGCTAGAAGGCCATGCCATCATAATTTCTTGCCTGAGACTACTCTATTAGCCTTCTCACTGCTTCTTGTCTTATCTTTCTACAATCCATTCCCCACACAACAGCCAAAGTGATTTTTTTTCTTAATGTAAATCTTTTCTGACCACTGCTTCAGATGTCCAATGTTTCCCAATGCACTTCCTTACTCTGTCATAGAAGTCTCCTGCCTGCTTCTCCCATATTCCACTATTGCCCTCACCTACTACACTACAACCAAATGACCTCCTTTCTTTTCCTCAAACATTTCAAGTTTGTTTTTGCCTTCAGTTTCTTTCACTGATGCTGTACCTGGAATGTGATTCCCCCTTCCATCCAAATGGTTACTTCTTCTGTCATTCAGAATTCTTAAATGTCACCTGGACTTCCCTGACTACCTACTCTAAAATAGTCCCCCAGTCCTTATCTACTGGATCTCTCTCTGTTAAAGATTAGTATGGTATTGCCCAGCCAGTGTGGCTCAATGATTGAGGATCGAGCTACGAACCAGGAGGTCATAGTTTGATGCCCAGTCAGGGCATATGCCTCAGTTGTGGGCTTGATCCCCAGTGGGGGTCGTGCAGGAGGCAGCCAGTCAGTGATTCTCTCTCATCATTGATGTTTCTATCTCTCTCTCTCATTCCCTTCCTCTCTGAAATCAATAGATAAAAAGTAAAAGGTTAGTATAGTCTTTATTATTTATCTAATATTCTCATACTTTTAGTTTTTCTGTTTGACTCTTCACAAGAAGAACGTAAGTTTCAAAGGGATAGGCTCTTTTCTTGTTTTGTTCACCTAAACATACTCAATAAATATGTTGAATGTTAAATGAATCCAGAGTCCCCATTTGTACTATAATTTAATATTTTTGCATTATAAAATCTTCTTAAAATTAAACAATAGACACCTAAGAAACACAGTAAAAAGAGATTCCCTACCCCTAAATCCTATATAATAAAAGGCTAATATGCAAATTGACCAAAGAACCAGTCGCTATGACGTGCACTGACCACCAGGGGCAGACGCTCAACGCAGGAGCTCCCCCCTGGTGATCAGTGTGCTCAGCCAGAAGCTGGGCTTATAACTGGCGAGTGCAACAGCGGTGGCAGGAGCCTCTCCCACCTCCACAGCAGTGCTAAAGATGTCCAACTGCCAGCTAAGGGACCTAAGCCAGCAGTCGGACATCCCCCGAGGGCTCTTGGACTACGAGAGGGCACAGGCCAGGCTGAGGGGAACACACACACACACACACACACACACACACACACACACACACGTACACAAATTTTGTACACCGGGACTCTAGTGTTTACATAATCCAAGACAAATTCTATGGTCATGTGACCATTCAAATTTAGATATGGTCAACAACAAAGGAAAATAGACTTGGTAAAGATAATCTAAAATAGTGGAAAATTTGAAAACTATTATGTCTATGTCTTTAATTCAGATTATAAAGGCTTTCTATAATACTGCAATAAATTCAGTTGAAATATCAGCTTTAGAGTAGAAGGGAAGGTGAGAAAACGGCTGAAGAAAAACTGAAGTATGTGTTGAAGAAGCAAGAGAAGAACAGGAAGAGGAAGTTGTAAATAGTAGGGGTAAAATAGGATTACAAATTTGCCACAGATAATCTCCAACATGAATAATCCACCCTGGGTAATAGAACATTGACTATAATTACATTCATCCTACTGACCTTGTTCTAAATTATTATGGATTATTACTGCACAAGTTATTTTTGTTCCACACCAGAGGTGGTTGTATTCCGCTATCAGATGACATGACCTCTAATTCAATAATGTCTGTAATGCACTGGTATCCTCAGATAAAAGCTGTCTATAATGCCTGAACAAAGGTGAATTAGTTATCCAATTCACACACGCAATTAACTCTCTTAATACCTGAGAGACCATGAAGCCCCTTCTGAATTTCCTATTAAGTACCACATATGGAGGTCTTCCCTCCATCTGTAGTTATCTTGTGCTGTACTTCATAATAAACAATATTAATAGTTTGCTGCCATCAAAAATCTTGCATTAGTTCTCATAAGAAACCTCATTCTGTAAAGCAATCACTCATTTTCCTGGGAAAATGCATTAAATTCAAATATTATGCCTATTAATAAAGTACAATAGTTCCCTATTCTCAGTAATGTAAAAATAATAATAACACCTTCATGAAATACAGAAAATGTAGTATTTTCACCATTTTAAAGAACACCTCTTAAAAGCCAAAAGGCAATATTTATACTGTGGATTTATATTTATATGCTATATTCAGTTATTTTTAAGAAGAAAAAAATTTTAATTCGGGCACTAAAGGGCAAAAACAAATCAAAACATAGTCTTTTTGCCACCTGTTCCCTCTACTCAGAGATGAAATTTCACAGAGTTTGAAGGTAGAGTAGTGTGCTTCTCTCTGTTTTGTCCCCATATGTGATGCCAATGGCTGTATTCGCAAAAACCCAGATTAGAATATCTAGGTCATGTCAAATGTCAAGCAAATACCGGGCCTTCTAAAAAGGGAGGTAATTAATTAATTCTTCAAGGGATGCTTTTTATTTTAGTCATCTAACATTAATGTATCCTTTCAGCAGAGAACAAGAGAACAAAATAAAATCTGTACAATTAAACCTGGCTCTCTTAGCACACATTTCCATCCTATCAGATCAAGTCTAGGAGAAAGCAAGGAGTTAAGTATATCAGCAGAACGATCCTGTAGCTCCAATGAAATCTGCTGCTCACCTGGGTTTTCATTTCCCCTCCCAACTCAAAGTAGGCAGGAAAGGCAGAGGAAGAAGACAACAGTTTCTTACGTGTGTTTCATATGTTTTATCCGTTCGTGTAATGACAGATGGACATTCTAAAAACCAAAAAACTAAATAGGTGACATTCCTGGCTCCAAAAAAATTTAAAGTACAAACCAACCTTCTGCATGCTGCAGCACAAGAAATACCGACTCCTCAGAAATGATGTACTTGTGCAGACACACCATGTTGGGCACACAGCGGGGGATGATGGTCTTTCTGTTCCTGCTATATTCACTGCTTTTCCTTAGACCCTGACAGAGAACAAAAAGGTCAGTTGTACCCTCAGTTGCCTTTGGAGCCTGCTGTGCTCTGTGTTTATCAACCAAACTAATCTATCCGAGTTACTCTGGGCTTCAGAGAAACCACTCATCTGCTGCTCTATGCCCCTCAGTCCCTGGAGGCTCTGCTGATGGCATCTGGCGAGAATCCAGAGAACAGAAGATGCCACAAAGCTGCCATTAAAATCAATTATGTGGGTCAGTGTTTTTATTAGAGATGCTCTCGAACTAAGTCATCAGGATCACACACAGTTATTTCTCTATGACCTTTTCTTGAGTTTTATTTACTTGTGTATATCTTTAAAGCAGTAGACATTGTGAGATCAATTCGAATTCCTGAGACACAAAAGGTATTCCTAGATTAAACAGGCAATTTTAAAGTTCTATTCCAAAAAAGCACAAAGATTATTTTAGTTTTCTCCAAAGGAACAGGTGTGTGTAGTTTCTAGTGTCATACCTTGGTTTAAAAATCTGGGGAAATGCCAGTGATAAAATATATTCATAAAAAGAAATTTGTTTCAGTATATGTCAATGTGCTCTACTGCCGTGCATCAAAAAAAGAAATATAAAATTAATATGAAATTGATTAATTCTGGATGCAGTGGAAATGCTTAAATTGGGATATTTGTAGAATATGTACTGTCACAATCCATTTCAAATACAACTTAGAAATTTTAAAACTGAGAGGATTTTCCTTCCTTATTCATTTAGTTACAAATGGAGTTATATAGAGAATCAAAACAAAAATATAAAAGAAGGCCAGGGATGTAGATAATACTTTCCCAAATATTTGTTATAAAGACTTTAAGGTAAAATGTCAGCACTTAATCATAATCATAGGTTAAATGGTATATGGTCTCCACAAATTATACAAGAAGTATTAGAGGTGAATTTAAACTGTACATTATACATTTAAACAACATGAAATGAGTCAACTTATCCAAATTATTTCCTCCATACTCTATTACCTAAAATGCTTGTTAAATGTATGCGATGGAAGGACAAAAGATAAAATAAATACAGATCATCACAAATATAAATGAACATTCCAAATAGAACATTAAAACACCCAGGAAAACAATATTATTTTTTTTCTTTCAGAGCACAATTTGAAAATAAATTTCAAGATCATTAAACATATAAATAAAACTTTAAAATTACTTAAAAAATTAAATAAATAAACATACAAATTCTACTTACTTTTAAAATGAAGGTCTGTTCTGTCCTTGTGTCCATTACAAGTAAAACCTACATAAAAAATATGAGTAATAATTTATTCACAATACAATGCAACATTAACTCATAACTTTTTAAAACTACACTTTAAGGGTTTGGGGGAAAGTGCTAAATTGACTCCACAAAAGATTGTTAACTTCTGAACAGATTTTTTTTTTTTTTGTTAAGGCACCAAATCACAGGATTAAAGTAGTCTTACCTAAAGGTTTTATTATTGTTTTCTTTCTAAAAATGCCGTATTTTAGAAACATTAGTGTTTCCTAGATTTACTTTAAAATATATTTCTTAAAAGTGAATGAAAAATTATTTTAGACATTACTTTAGAATTTTTTTCTCATGAAACATTAGTTAAGAAGTAAAAAAAAAAAAAAAAAAAACTTTTATAGTAATTGCCGAAATCTCGATTTTCTCCCTTAAGCCCCTCATGTAGCCACTTGCTATTATAATGTGATCTCAGTAACTCAAGCTCCAGTCTGAGGCATCCTTATGGTCCCACTTCTCCATCCTGGACTCATCCTAACTCAGTGATAGCAAACCTATAACACGCGTGTCAGAGGTGATACCCAAACTCATTTTTTTGGTTGATTTTTCTTTGTTAAATGGCATTTAAATATATAAATATCAAAAATATACATCTTTGTTTTACTATGGTTGCAAATATCAAAAAATTTCTATATGTGACACAGCACCAGAGTTAAGTTAGGGTTTTTCAAAATGCTGACACACCGAGCTCAAAAGGTTCGCCATCACTGTTCTAACTCCTCTTTTTCCCTCAGCAAATTCTGTTAGCCTTATCTTCAAAATGTATCTAGAACTGAAGTGTCTCACCACTTCATGGCTATTTCCCTAATCCAAACAAAGACACACCTGGATTAGAACAACTGCCTTCCCAGCAGATCTCTCTGCTTCCATCTTTGCTGCCCTTGGTCTGTTCTCTAAATAGCAGGCAGGGTTTTCTTTTTAAAACAGAAGTAGATCATGTCACTCCTCTCATTCAGATAAAAGACCTAAGTCCAAAAGATGATCTCAAGACCCCTCATGAGCGCACACACTGCCACTCAAACTCCCGACTCCCCACCCTCTTGATAGATGGAAGGAGCGAAGAGAGATACAAAATTATCCTACCATTTTAATATTTTATTATTAAATAAATAACCAGAGGTTGGCAAACTTTTTCTATAAAGAGACAGATAGCAAATATTTTAGCTTTGCAGGCCCATGCGGGAGGTCTCTGCTGCAGCAATTCAACCCCACGTTGTAGCACCAAAGCAGCCACCATCTGAAACGGGCTGTGACAGGAGTACTTACACCACAGAAATCGGCAAGCACTGTAAACAGGGATTTTTTCCCCCCTCAACTCCAGAGCACTGGGAGTCAAGGATGAAAAAAAATTGGTGGTCAGAAGAAAACGTGGCAAGTTAGGATGAGACAGCAATTTGAGAAGATGGTAAATTCCATTTTCGACATGATGAATTTGAAGTAACAGTGACATCATCTTTGACCTCTCTTCTGAGTGCCTGATATACTTATGTAGGTCTCCATTTAATTCCAATTGAATATTCCCACAGATATCTCCTGAGCTCACCCCTTTCTCTCCCAAAGTCCTGTCCCCACTAAAAACAAAACCAAACCCTGTTTCTCCTCCTATAAAACTGAATACCACCACCATCCACAGAACGCCCCCAAACCAAATAGTTCCCTAAGTCACTATAAATCCCCTGCCCCCTACCTTCATAACCAATGACTAAGACAGTCAATTCCACCTATTTCCTTATCCATCCTCTACTGTCTTTCACTTAACCAGGCTTTAAGGGTTTACTATGTGCTGTGCTTTAACCATGTGTAATCAATGTTAATTCTTTTAACTACCCAATGTGATAATTTTACCATTTCTATTATACCTGTGAAGACATTACAGCTTCATCTGTAGGAGCTATAAATGGTAGATAATAATGGTGTCTATCGTATGTGAAAATTTCAGTGAGAGATAATCTTGTAAAAGTACTGGTATAGCCAGTTGTTATTATTACTGCTATCACTATTATTGCTTCTTCTCCCTTAAATGTTCTACCATCCACTTACCAAACAAGTGCTCATCTTTTCAAATGTCTCTCAGTAACAGTCTTTTCTTCCTTTGTTCTCACCCTGTATACGTTACCAACTTCTATATAGCATTTCTAATCCTTCAGTTTGGTTTTATGATTACTTGTCTCTCTCCCTATTTAAGGTTTGTATCAGCATGTTGAAAGAAGAATAATGGTCACCAAAGGTGTGTTCCCCAGTGTCTCCAGTGAGGAACACAGCCCTGCCAGCACCTTGAGTTTAGCCCAACATGACATACGTCAGACATCTATCCCATGTGACAATAAATTCAGCTGTTTTAAGCTGCTAAGTTTGTAATACTTTGTTATGGCAGCAACAGAAAGCTGTATAGGGCAGAAATTATGTCTCCTCCGACCTATGTGTCTCCCATAATAAATGTTCAAAGTGAATAAATTCAGGTATAAAAGTATGGAAGGTAGACGGCAATATCAGAATGAAGCTTAGAAAATAAATTGAAACTAAAGGTTTATTCTAGTATTTGAGCATTCTCCATAAAGACAATAGCTAAAGGCAGGAGAACATGCCCCACTAAAAAAAAAAATGCTTACTTTATCCTAGGCACTATATTTGGGTTTTAAAGAATTAAATCATGTAATGCACTCAACAATCCAATGAGGTAGATACACTTTAACCAATGTTACAGTTGCTCATGCTCAAGAATTTAAGAAATGGTAAAGGTGAAATTTAAACCCTAGCAGTCTGGCTACAGGGTTCTTCTTTTTTAATTGCTAAGCTATACTATTAGGTCTAAATTCTATGTCATACATAGTTGTTATATTGAGAATATCTATATATATAAAAGCCTAAGCGACCATTACGACTGATGACCTGCTGGTAGCTATGATGTGTACTAACCGTCAGGGGGCAGACAATGCAGGAGCTGCCTCCTGGTGGTCAGTGCGCTCCCACAGCCAACCTCCTGTGGCTGGCTAATCTCCCACAGTCCCTACCCCTGGCCAGCTGGCCCCAATCGGCCCCAATCACCAGCCAGGCCAAGGGACCCCACCCATGCACGATTTCGTACACCGGGCCTCTAGTATAGACAATAACCACCAAAATTGTAGTGAGAAAGGTACAAAGAAAACCAGAAAATGTAGAGGTTTAAAAATAATAAAACCATGTCAAGGAAAGAAAATGCTTTCAATTAGTGTAAGCATCTGGAAGCCACGAAGACTGAAAAGGAGAAGGGATTACTGCCCAGGGAATATAAAGCCACTGGTAACTTGTTAACAAATATTGCATTATGCAGTGAACTGGTGGAGATAGGAGCCAGACTCCTCTGAATTAATAATGGGTGATAAGAAAATGGAGGTGACATATATAAATCTTTTAATACAAAAATATATCAAAAGGAAAAACATTAAAATGAAAGAGTTGGTAGGATCATCAGGTTGAAACTATTTTCGGAGGATAGACCTATTCTCCCCATAATTTCCCTTTGAGCTACCTTCTGCACCAATCTTCCACTGCATGGAAACACATTCAAAGAACTTGAACCTTGACAGTTAAAGTAACATATCATGAGAGCAAAAGGCGGCACAGGGCCCTGCCCTTTCTCTGCAAAAAAGAAAGTGAGCCTGTGAAGACATCAGTTCCTCAGATCTCATTTGTTTTTATATCAAGTTGTGACTCCTTTAAGCCACTCACCAGAATGCCAGTCCTACCTTAAACAAGATATATCTCTATGAAATAGATATGTTTCACTAGGTAAAAGGTATGGAAGCTGTACAAAGGAAAGAACTTCTTTCTCCTACCAGAAGCTTCCGAATTGACTAAACTGCCTCTATGCACATAAATCAGAAGTGGTATCTCTTTGCCATCTCACTTAGCCATGAAGCATGAAGTGGATCAGATAAAAAGACCACATGAAAACCGATAAACATGCCTGGGAAGTGCTGCTTTGTTTACATTTACTTTCTTCTCCTACCAAGTTTGTCTGCAGCTGGACAACGTTCACATTGAGGCCATAAACACAAGAACATATGTGGTTTTTTTAAAATGTGCCCTTTGACTGTCAATTTCTCCCAAACAGGTGTTGGCTAAATGATTATAAATTGGCCTCTGGATACACCTCTTCAACTGAGCCGTACAGGGCTGGTGATAATATAATTAGACCTAAAAACATCAGGCCAGTGAATGCTTTCCATCTGTTTGGCAATAATGTTTAGTTAACAATAGTCTTTAAAAGAAGCACCTTCAACTTCAGTTCTTAAAGTTATTTATAGAGCCATTCTTAACACACCAGCACTCTTGCTAACAAGAGCTTTAGCCACTTGGAAATTATTAGCCATACGGCTGTATACAAAGAGAAATGACTGCATTTAACATCTGTATCTTTCCAAATGTACACGCTTCAACCTCATTTAAAGTCATTTCTTAATGAACAGTGCTGTGGTGCTGCATTAATATTATAGTTGCATGCACAAAGATCATAAGGAGCCAAACATTTTTTTAATGCCAATAGTAGGCCAATCTGTAATGAAGCTGTCAGCATAAAGGACAAAATAATAGCTTCTTTAACCCTCAAACAGAATTTGTTCATTTGTAGCATAGAACACATCAATTTAAAAACTGCTCATGGGTTTGCTCACCTTTATAAAGACAAAAATCTAATTTGGTACTAATTTGATACAATTGTCTTTCCAATAAAAGGCTCCTAAACCCATCTCTTATTTCATAATAAAACAAGTAGTATAACTAAAACTGTCATGAAATAATTATCTTGGATAGCATACCTTATTGAGAGAATACAATTAATGTATTTCCCTTTCATTTTTCACACTTACTTATCAGCACTATATTAGCATACGGTCTAATAGAAGAGATTACTCCATCTTTGCCTGTAGTAGTATCTAAAAGGACTGCTCCTCACTGGGGAAAAAAGCAGACAACTTATCCCATAAGGATTA